ATTACGAGAATTAAATTAACGTTAATACTGATTTATTAAATTTAAAATTAATGAAAGAGGTTATTAGTAAATGGTTTATATTTAAATTTATTGCTTGAATTATAAAATAATATAATATATTCGTTTAGTGTTTGAACGATGCCGAAATTATAATCTATGAGAAAATGTTTTTGCCCAAATTAATCTTTTCTCTCTTTTAATCAATTAGTTACTGATTAAGAAAAAATCCAACTTTTGCCATTATATAAAATACTGTTATAAAATCTTACATGTTAATTCCATGTAACACAATTAGTGTTGAAGGATGATGGGTTTCGCAAGGGCAGTGCTTGGGGCGGTCTGTTCTTTGTTCTCAGTTTTGAGCAGTCGGGTTTGTAATTATATTGTGCTTTGCCCACAAATCCGACCTCGCAACAGCCACTGGATATAGTCATATAATAAAATGTGAGATATTGTTAATTAATACGAGACATTTAGCTAACAAATCTCGCGTTTCTAAGATCAAAGTTTCCGTTTAAAACTTATTGTTGTCTCTGCTTTGTAAAAGATAATGAGAGGCATGACAATATGTTTCATACAGAGATTTTGGTCTCAGAAATAAACTCAAAAACCAACGGTAAGAGACATTGAATGAAAGAAATTATCCAATGGCAAATTTTCTCTCATCAGTTAGTTTAGATGGATGTTCGAAGGTGTCGCCAGAACGGCTTAACGGATCTCGATGAAATTTGGCATACACGTAGAACATAGTCTGAAAGAACACTTACTAAGTATGTTTTTTTTAAGTTTTTATATAAACGAAACAAAGGCAATTTTCTCTAGTTTGACATATCACGTCGCGTCGTCGTACAGTAGCAATCATTTACATAATCAGCTAAATCGTCAAAGAGCCGAGATTCCAAACGCTCGAGACAGCTCGTCAGCTCGTGATAATCACAGCTACGTTTAGGTCAAGAGCCTGCAGATGTCGTTACTTATATGTTCAAACTTCTGCAGGTGGGGCTTACGAGATAAGTTTTACAGGTTAGATATCGCACAGTTTTGCATAATCGTGTGGTTTGTTTTGTGATATTTTAGTTAAATATTATTATAGAAGTAACTATAAAATACTTTTTATTTTTATTTCAGAATATTGAGTTGAAATAATTCCTTCTCATAGACCGTATTTATAGAACTCAGCGAGCTGAAGATATTAGTCTATGCCGATCTAGTTCTAAAAGGAAATTTTGTAACCTTGGTGAAAAATGTCTTTATTTAAATTAAACAAATGAACATGTAATTCACAAGTAAATTAATAAGCCTTTAATTGTTGTAGTGTCACGTCGGCTTTAATGGAGAAGTTTTACGACCTTACTACTTAGTACGGATAATATTTTCAACATCTATTTTGCCATTTTGGTTTAAAATTATTCATTAACTACATCTTATTGGCACAGATAATATATTTGATATAAGAATTGTTTGCAAAATACAATATCAAGCTTTAACGTTCTGAAATAAGGCGTAAATGCTATATGTATATGTCTTAGAAATCCATTGTCCTTTCTAAATATAGATTTATTTCGATGAGAAAATTTCTATTACACTTTACGTAATTTTATTTGAATATTTGCGTGGGAGTCGCGTAGCTTGCCAGCGGCTAAGTTTTTGCTTGTTACTTATTTTTGGAAAGATATTGTTCACCGAAATACTATTATGTTTTTGTTCCTATACCCAACAAACCTTAAATGAAAGCCAGCAATAGAAAATGTATTGTGTTTTCGACATAAATATATATTTTTTAATGATCTGAAAAGTTCGTCGTTCAATTAACACATTCATGTCGGTAAGCCGAGCATTTTCTCAATTGCTTTGTGCAACCTTGAGATTCTTTTTGTGAAATTGTGTATGAACATATTAACAAATTACATTATCATACTTAACTCACGAGCGAAAGACACAAAGAATTTTAGTACACGCAAGGTGATATATGCATTCCGAAAGCTTCCTAACTGAATTTCGAAGCGAATTAATCCTATCCAATGGTTAACTAGAATTAGAGTGGGTGGATCGTGATATATGGTGACGAGTGATTGAATGAATGATACTAAAACATTTCTTATCTACTCAACAGTTTATATGTAATCGTAGTCACGCAACATCCTGTTTTGATGGGACTATAAAATAAACCTAGGAAGGTATAAAAATACGTGTACCGTTGTTAGAGTCGCGTCACGTAGTGGGTAGCTGACTCCCGCAGTCTGTTGTTTACGTAGTGTGAATTATGAGCATGGCTGCATCTTACAGATCACTGCATCTTTGTATGTAAGAGACACTTAATTATTTTGGCGTTTGAAAGTTTACCACGTCATATATAACACTAGCTTTATCCTGCGACTCTATTCGCGCGGAATTAAAAAATACTTAATTAGTAGCCTATGTGTTCTTACAGACTATGTTATAAATCAATGCCATAATTCAGCGCGATCCCTGCAGCCGTTGTGGTGGATAACTCCTAACAAACATCCATCCATCCATCCAAACATTAGCATTTGTAACATTAGTAAGACTAAGTATAAGTGTTGTTATATAATACAATTATACGTTTTATAATCAACTGAGAAGTTAAGTGAATCATTTATTTTATTAACTGTTTCGTAGATATTTTAAAACGTGATTTAAATTCAATTTTTAAAGAAATGGTAATCATCCATCTCATTGTGCAAATAACCTATTTAAATAAGAACAAAGATGCAAAAAGTGCTCCGTTTTGCATTGAGCAAATATTGTCGTGTTTTATTTAGCAGATTTAAAGCATACGACAATGTAACTGGTCCCTCGAACTTGCTGTTTATCTTTTCTGTCGTCTAAAAGATTTTATGGGAATAAAACTCCCTTGCCAGAGTTCTTAGTTGCTTTGCAGTTTGTTATTTTGCTGCATTCGTAACCATTTGGCTTAAGCGTACCATTTTAAATGTTTTATTATCGCATTCATTTCTCTACGCGACTTCATTGGAACTGAATTGGATGCATTTTAATAAATATAACGGTATTCTACATGCGTTCTTATTATACTAAAGTAACTATATTTCTTTCAGTTGATTTTATGTTCCATTTTATCTTTGATATATTCAAAAGTTAAAGATGTAATAAATTCAATTTAGAGAACGAGGCAATTCAGTAAAAGAAAACTTTACTATTCCAAGCATGATTGAATTGATGGAATGATGAAGTACTTATAATTCAAACCTATCAAACTGTTCAAAAAGCTAAGTAAAAGAATAAAGTTTCACGAGTAGATAGTTGATTAAACGACATTATAGGTAGTATAGGTTATATGTAATAAAGTAGCTTTCAGTTTGAGTCTTTTCTAATCTCGACTGGTGAATTGAATGTGCGGTTGAGGTGATGGCTAGAGCTATGTCAATTTAAATGGCTTTGCGGGGCGGTGAGCGGCAATACGAGATGTCCGTCGCTTGCAGCACCACCGGTCGTCTGACGTCTGACCTGACGACAGGGGGATTAAACATACCACAATCCACTTTCAAAGCTTGAATGCACTTTGAATTGGTATAAATCTTTGCAAATAACGTACGAGATAAAGTTTTATTAAAACCGTTTATAAATTTAGTTTTATAAATCTGAGATTGTTGTTATTGCCATATTACTGTGATATTTTTTTCTGTATTACGTTACTATTTTTTTTAATGATTTGAAACAGAATGTAAACTTATTCACTTGGTAATTCCATAACAACGTATAACATAATAAAATAGAAAATTATATAATTTTCTTGCTGAATAAACTAAACAGTATCAATCAAAATCTAGAAAAGGATACCGTGTTGATAGTTCTGCTTTATTGACTTATTGCAGTAGTAAAATATACAATAAGATATACGAGAATCATTTTATGAACGCTGTAAATTGTGTATGTGTAGAAAATGGCAAAGGCGCCTGTGTGAGACAGTTCCTTTATTCATGCGGGTATTGTGTGCACCGTGGAGGTAATATTGAAACAAACCTCCTTGCTACTCGTATCAACGTGTGCTATTGTTTTGTTTTAATAAAATCGCACACCGCTTTATTGACTAGAAATCGTTATTTATACTTATATTAGCTTTCAAGTATTGGGTAAGATTGAGATATAAATTGAACGTAAAAATAACTCATATCTTTTTAATTCTATTTGTCTAGACGTTGATGTTTATAGTTTTTGTATTGCCTAGTGTAGTGTATAACGATTATTCTAGATTTTTTCAATCAACATATAATTATTTACTTTATTAATTTGCAAAGTATGGTCAGGAGTTTTTGGCAATTGATTCTATCATCGATTGTTCCGTCTTGTTCATTTAGCTCAGTAAAACTTCACACCGCATTAAGTCTTGACAAAGTTCTTGGCTGGCCGCCACACAGCTTCCCAGAAACCGAGGATCCAGATATTTTTAAATTGCATATTCAATTATTCATGCTTTTCAAGGAAAAATGAGCGTTCTTTTGTCAACATGACGTCTTTAAATTTTAATTAAAAATATGAAGTGATATAAAACATATTGAGAACTATCATACTACGTTTTTTGAAGTAAACGGATCTAAACTGCCTTCATTAATATAAATGTTTTGATCTACATTAAAAAGAAAAGAATTTTCAAGTTATTTAAAACAATAAAACGTTGAATGTTAGAATTATTTTTCTGTTTTGGTGTAGTAATTATAACGTTGTAGTGCAGTGTAGTTATGGCGAATGAAATGGCACGTCGCGACATGACTGTTGTCTGGACACCGGCCAACACTGCGTGTAACTTAGCTTGCACTATTAACCATAGATTAAATATGATATTTGTTAAGCGAAAGCAATTTTTGATTGGCTTATTTCAATCTTACTCTTACTAATATTATCAATGCGATTTTTTGGATGGATGGATAGATGTTTGTTTGAATGTATCTCGAAAATCGCTGTGTGGATCTCGCTGAAATTTGGCATAGATATAAAACATAATCTGGAAGAAAACATAGGCTTCTTATTAACTTTTTTTTAATACCGCGCGGATGGAGTCACGGGCAATAGCTAGTTTATCATAAGTGGTATGATACCGCGGTCTATTTATTTTAATAAACTAAACTTTATTTTAAATAGAGTAAATTAACAAATAAACAGTTTGATTTAAATACGAAGTAGTAGCAGCAGTCGGCGGGCGGTCGGAAATCCATTAAGGTTATAATAGATAAATCGGACATGATAAGCGTTTTGATTATTGAAGGATATAATAAATAGCTCGGTTATAACATGACTACTGCAGCTAACCGACATTTTATATCATAATTTTGCAAAGTAAACAAAATAAAACTTCTTTTTGTTTTTTGATGGTAAGTATTTCAGTTGAATAATCGGAATATAAAAAGAAAAAACTAAAAGGAGACTTATGAAAATTGAGTCCAAACTAAATAACAAATACTAACTACATTTTGAGCCATTGCCAAATAAATGAACAAGCAAAATTATTGTGAATATCAAAAACTATAAAATAGTACAACCACAAAAACTACATATTGAGATTGAGCATGAGACAATTAGACGAGAACAGTAAGACTCCGATATTATTTAAAAATTACAGTTGGCACTTATACTTAAGATTTTTTCGTTTTAATAACGGCACAAACTACAAAGAGTACAATGAGGGTGAAGAGTGCAGTAAGTGATACGAATACAGGTTGTGATTGTAGATATTGAGCGCCAAAGATGTTGGTACTAGACGGCGCTAGATGGCGCGCTCCGCCGTTTCTTATAACACTCTCTGACCACCATATTGCACGGTCAATAGGCTTTTCCGTCCGCTCGAACATCATTTGACGTAACGTTACAATATTTTTTCGATATCTGTCACAAAAATACAAATACTATAAAATTATGTCTTTAAATTCGTGGGAAAATACCGAAATATAAGTATCCAGAATTCATTTACCTATTGTCATTTAGAAGGGTTTTTAACGCAGTATCAAACTTTTCTTCTGTTAATGTATTTAAGTTAAGCTTTGGATCGATTTTTTGATGCATACATTTATCTGAGCTGTTCCACTGCTCACCAAACATTGGCATTCCAATAAACGGTTCTCCGGCACTCATTGCTAAATGTTTTAATTGCAGACTTTGAGTTACGAATAATTTTATTTTATGATGTTCTGAAATATAATAAAACTGACCATAAATTTTGTCGATATTAAAACTTGAAATAAAAGAACGTACGTATGGGTTTAAAGTTTAGATGATTAGATGGATGGATGTTGGTTAGAAGGTATATCCGGAACAACTCAACCAATCGTGATGAAATTAGGAACAGATATGGAAACTGAAAGGACCCATAGCCTTTTTATTAAGTTATTTTCAAGCCTTGCGGACGGAGTCGCGAGCGACAGCTAGTTTAACATAAACGGTACTTACACATTAAGGTTAGATTGTATTTACCATTTTATTATTTAAGAATCTTAATCTCTGAAGGCATAGTTATCCAATTTCCATAAAACGTTATGGGACAGGGGTTTAAAGACTTTCAAAATGACATATTTTGTTTGTCAGATTTGATGACTTGACGTTTCTACAAAGTGGTAAATAACGCTTTTCTTGAAAGAGTCTTCATATAATATAATATTTTCAAACTTTTGTTTTAACGTTTTTTAAATAAAAATAATATGATAAAACATTAATTTAGAAAAGTTATTTCATTAACCACGAGTATGTTGAAAGACTCGTATGTGACCTTTCAAAGTTGATCTTTCTGTAGGACAGAGTTCAGAGTTCGAGCAAATGTCGTAGTAATGCTACGAATTGTGCTACGACGAGCTACATACTATCTACCTGTAATATTATACGAAAATGTAACATCGATGTATTCATTTTGAATAACTTAAAGTTAGTAGTTAAGACCGTTTGTAAGTTAGTAAAAGCATCATTTAAGGCGTCGGAGGCGATGTTGGCGAAAATATATTCGTTACTAACAATCTTTAATCAATAAGCGCAGTCTTTAGATAAAAGTAGGTTACGGAAGCATCTAACAATGTTCACAAACTCGCTCAACAATTCCAGTTCTAAATATATGTTAAGTATAGCGCCGTGTGGATTACATACTTTGAGATAAGTTAGAAACAATTAGTAAATAAAATGAACTAACAAGTTTTTTTATTGGAAATATCCTATTGATTGTAATCGATTATTAATCTCAACTATCTTTGAGTTACAATTTTATTTACATAGAACGTCGGCTGACTTTGATGTTAACGTAAATTTAAAAAGCTGTATTTTCCTGTATGCTTCTACGAATTTTTTTAAATACAAAAGCGGGTGTGAATAAAATTTTCACGTTCACATTAATAAATAAAACTCTTCAGTAAATATTGCTAAAGGTACCGTAATGTGTGGGACAATGTTCCATTTGTAAAATGAAGCAATACGTGTAACCTGGGGAGTCATAAACGTGGCCATTCGAAATTGCATTTGATTAAAATATGTGGCGAAACGAATGTAATTCAATAAAATATTTTACATTTATCGAATAATGTAATTATAGTAAAATATCATAAGACCCGTTAAAAAAGAAGACAAATAATATATGAATATGAATGTATGTAGCTTTAATGTGAGATTTTTCGTACTTTTTTGTTTCATTAAAATTTACAAGCTTCTTATTAAATTAACGTAGCGCTACGAATAGCTACGAATGTCTGTATGCTCCTGTGATACTAAATCTCAGTACATATACAGTTAGTAAAGGACAATGACCTAACAGTCTGTCAGCTAATATATCAGAGTTCAAATTCGGCAAAACGATACATGGAATTTAATCTCTTAATTTCTTAGTTAATTAATTAAAATTTAATACTACGTTTAAAGTCATGTAAAAATAAATTTATAAATAAGAGTGTTTATTCTTATTACGTGTGTAATTACAATTTTTACAACAAATAATAAAAGATTTTGGTAAATCAAACATAAATAAAATTATTTTAAGAAAAATGCTTGCTTTGCTAAAAAACTTTTTTGAGATCTTTTTCTTTCTTAAGTGATTTTACATGGCTTAATTTTAAGTCTAAGTTCATTCACGTTTGTGGTGACCTTAAAGGGATTCTAGAATATTTGTTTGCAATGACACCGACTTAGAGAGAAGCGGTTTCCTTTTGTCTGTCAGATGTGTGGGGAAATTTAGTCAAGTGCGTTTGACGCGCCTCCGGCGATGTCAAATGTGGAATTGCTTTGTACATCGCTCTGTCATTGTTCTTGTTTTCTTTTTAAAACCTTGGAAGAATTGTTAGATATTTTACACAATTACAAACTAGCAACAATCCCAGACTTCGCACCTACAACGCGATATGTCTTTAGTCTAGTCAATCTGTTTGTACTAAAACTTAAGCAAAGATTTGTTTCATAATAACCAGTGCAATTTTTTTTTCATAGCATAAGAGTTATTGCATTAAAAAACATAAAGAAAAAAGGACTGCAATGTGCAAGGAATATTGTCATAACTCAAGCTTGCATTTGATTAATATTCTGTGTATAGTTTATTTTGTACGTCACCGGAAGCGATGGCTCCCTGGCTCGTCCATTGTTAGGAACGAAAAATGGACTTGGACAGATTTCACTAATTTTTCCTGAAACTAAACGTGGAATAATGATTTCGCATATACGTGTTCATTTCCTTGTCACTTTTAACTTCTATTTTTTTTTGTAAATTAACTACACAATCCACATTTTTCTTTTAAAATATTTATAATAGATGGATTTACCATTTTAGGTTTATATAGTATATAGTATACATTGAAACTGTATAAGAGTGTTAAGTTGTTGAAATAAAAATTACATATCTTTACATACGAGTAGACTTAATAAATTTATGAATATTTGCATGTAAAATATATTTAAATCAGCATAAGAATAAAAGTAATGACGGAAGGCGCAATATTATTACTGCCGTAAATCCTCGCTTTTTTTCTTTATTCGAAAAACCGAAAGAAGTGGGAACCGCTACTTTATGAAATCTTATATAGAGACGATATTTCAATATAATATTTATGTATTCAATATAACTTCGTGCTCTCTTAACATTCCTTGTTTTATGATTATTTTACTGTTATAAGAATACATTTAAAAGCAATAAACTTCGTATGAAATTTATATATAATATATATATTTGTTCAATAACAAAACTCTTAAGGCACACGATGGCAGAAAATAAAGCAGTATGGGATAAACTGAAACTGGTAAATTTTGAAAAGAGTATACGATAAAAAATGTTTGGCAATCTGCCCTAGAGTAGGATAAATAAATTCCATTTAAGTAAAGAAACGACTACAATAAGAAAAAAGGATAAGAAGTCATAAAACGATATTAATGACCAATCGGACGGTGTTAGTTGGGACGGGATATCTGGTAACTAGGGTGGCCGGATGTCCGGGGAAGCTCAGCTTAGCCTTTCCTCGTTTCATTTACTCCGATATATATTTAAATATAATATCAAAGCGAACGGTTGAGGATGAATACCGATTTTATGAGATATTACACTTGGTAGAAAGGTTCTATTTCCAACGATCATATTTCATATGAAGTATGACATGTTATTTCTTTTGTATATAAAAGTTATATGTTATTTCATGGAATTGAGTTATGAAGATATTTCTATAGTAAATGACAATAAGAACAAGCGGCAACTTAATTTCGCTAAAATAACGGAGTTAATACGATGGTATAGTATTTTTATGACTATTCGAACTATTTTGCAAATAGAGACTTGAGAATGTATCAGAGGCGCTCTGAATCGACACTTTGGAAATAATTGTGCATTAAAAATGAGCGCATAATTTGTAAAATTACGTGTTCATTGGATATTAGAAAATATTTTCTAGGTGTAAATATAAGGAACATACTTGCTTAATTTGTATGTTTAAGTTTGATTAAACTATGCTTAATACCAAAGCTCAGTAGAGTACCATTTGCGCGATTGTATTTGTAAGGTGTATTCATCTTAACTAAATTTCTTTTATTTTTAAACAAGTCAACAGTTTCGCATCAAATATTTCTCGAACGTTCCATTGGAAAATAAAAAATACATATAAATGTTAACGATCCCTTTGCGAGATTCTTCAGCTACACAACTACAATGTATTCAATTTAAACAGGATTTCAATTCTCAAGTATCTATGTAAAATACTTGGAGCTCCTGTTTCAATATTGCATTGTTGCGAGTCTGAACTTCAATGGATAGCATAATACCAAACAGAGCGAGTTACTTTAGTATAAACTTATACGTTCCCAATGGATGTGATTGCTAAAGTTTAGTTGCCTCAATAATTTTCTTATACGAAGACCTTTAGCAATCAGTAATTGGATTCAGAGACTATTATTGAAGTGGCATCAATGCTCGCTAAATTGTTAACCTACTCAGAGACACGATTTTCAATCAGAACTGTCTTCGATTATAGAGGGACTACTAATTAATATGCTAAATATAGAAAGAAGGTTAGGTTTTCGTTCTATTTCTATTTTAACTCGGTACTTTAGACTACGTACCCTAAAACGACTAGGTTATCGTGACAAGTAACGAATATATGAGGGCTATAAATTAGGTGTTGTATTTATAATCATTGTTGCTTTTTACTAACACTAGTATGTTACTAACGACTTGCCGCACGCGATGTACAAATTGAAAGTTTTTATAATGACTTTAAAATCGATATTAGATGAAATTAGAACAAAGAGAGGTGTTACTCTAATATTCAATTGACAAGCCACACAAATGACATATTTAAGTTTTAAAATGATACAAAATATTGGAAGTCACGGATATTTTTTTGTTTGAATTATTAATGTTTTTTCCGGTACGAATAAATTTCCATAACATTTTCTTACTAGAATGTGATCGAAGTCAATATCGTTTTTGGCGATGTCGCCTGCTTGTTACCAATTGATATGCGAAGGATTTATACATTTGATCAATTTGACATTACCCTAAACTAATATTTATAACGGCGAATTAAAATTCCCCTAATAATAGCATACTTTGATTTTTTTGATATTTCGATGATTTATTAGACTAGATTAATATTTAAAAACGTTTAAAATAACTGGGACAGTAACCGTTTTACTGCCTTAACACATGTATAAAACATAAGAAAAAGTGGAATGACTAAATATTTCTAATTATACGTATCGGTGTCTTTAAAGTGCTGCAGTTGTACACAATCAAATAAAGATCATTGTGTATTCAAAGCACGTATCGTTGTAGAGTAATTACCTACTCCCGGACAAGAGTCAAAGGCGCCGCATATCTGTCTAGATCATTTGTTTTCTTAACTGTCTTGTGATACTTCTAGGATTGTGTTACTTATAATTATTATTCATGCTACGAATATATACCTAAAAGCGACCAAAAGCTATTATAGTTAATATAATAATAAGATGTAAAATACTTAACGGTAATAACATATATTTATTTCGCTTATGAATAAAACAAAGATTTACTTAAGTTACATACAACAACTTACGTTAAAGTTGTGTTATTTGAGTATACTCAG